AAAAAAAAAATCTTGTTGAAAAACAAAAAAAAAAAAAAAAGATTATCGATCATTGATGTGTATTGACTTTATTTTTTTCTCGTAAGATGTCAGTTTGTTCACACTCGTTTGGCATTGTGTTGTCTGTTTTGATGTTTAGTGTTTTCGGGTCATCGTGTAGTTTTGTTGTTGTGTGGTGTGTGGGTGTGTGTGTGTGTATGTGTGTGTGTGTGTGTATGTGTGTGTCTGTGTTTGTCTGTGTGTGTCTGTGTATGCGTGTGTATGAATACGAATGCGTGCACGCATGCTGTCCTGTGAACACCGCCCTTGCGCTGGTTCCCAGGTATCTGGAAAGACGGCGTCTTCGAGAGGTGGCTAGACTCTGCTGACAAGGTGATGCTCAATGTGGAAGAGAAGGACACGGACAAGGATGAAGAGTTCGGCACCTCCATTTTCTCAAACCCAGACGCATACACCCGAATGTACAAGGTGGGCAGGCATTTCAGCAGAGTCCAGACAAAAAGTGACACGACTTTTCCACACCTCTGGAGGCAGCTGCCTTGATATATGGGTCTCTGACCCTAGAGCATAGCCCTGCATACAGCTGCCTGGCTCTTTGCTAACCTCTCAACCCCAGCCTGCCTGCCTCTCCGAATCATGCTCGGTACTGTATAGGTATACTCCTTCTCATAGCCACCTGCGAAGGCCTTGCGACCTTCCGTCGTATCTCTCATGTTCGCTGAATGCGCATGAAGACCTAGCATCTTGATGCATATGCACATCAATATGAGCATGTGCATAGAGGCATCGCCAAGGAGCATTTCAAATAGCCGCTTTGAAAGCTTGCATGTTGAGAGACACGATATCCTGCTTCTGGACCTCATTAACGTCTTGCTAGTTTGTGCATATATGCGCATAGTTCATGTATATATTAGTGTGCCTACACGCAACTTTACAGGAGCTACACATATATGCTTACAGACCCCATGTACTGCATAAATACCTGTATAGTCATGTGCGCATATTCTCTGGGATGGATAAAGGCGATTTTGCTGCAGCGCTTCCATGTCCATAAATAGATTGATAGATTTAAAGTGCTTCCCGTGGTGCGTGCATGACCAGTTATCTACGTCCGTGGATGTTTTTTCACGACTGTGGGGGCTGAAATGCGTCTGTTGCCGCTTACTGCACTGCGTCGTTCAACAGGCGGAAGACCGGAAGCGCATGAAGATTAAGGGGGGAGTGCTTCACCAGAAGGCCAAGGATGGCGACAGCAGCGCAGAGCCCGCCAACGACGCTGATAATACGTAAAACTGATTGGGTCGCCAGAATTGCAGGATATCGCGAGGTGTGCCGCGGTTGCTTTCTCCCCACGCAATCCTGCCGTTCGAGGCCCGTGCCAGCACAAGACGAAGGCAGAGAAAGGGCGGAAACATCGTGTTTCTGCGACGTGTTTCTCAGTTTCTACTTGATGTGTTGATACACTTTGAAGTAGTGTATTCATGGCCAGGGGGGCAAAAATGCGAAGGCTGCCACACTGTGACCTTGGCATGTTTGCAGTTGTAGCAGTGCTTTTTCCATTTCGCTGCGCCGGCTCCCCTCGCAGCCAGGTTGCTTCATGCACCAGCAGGCTCTTGCCATTCGTATGTATGGGAACCAAAGACAGCCGTGTAGAGCACTGAAGCAGCCCTGCTGCTACCCTATGCCTAAGATGTCCGTCTACTTATCCATTGCCCCCCGGGCGCTTCGCAATGCGCGCCGCTCCTGTTGCATGTGAAGGCTGTAATATGGGGAATGCTCACGCGCATAGCTGCTAGCGGAAACGATCCATCCGCCGTCGCACCTCAGCACGCTCACCAATACGATTAATTCTTTGCCATTTTGAGCACCAAGTGTCCCTAGCACATAGCGATCGAACACCTGCGCACCGCTCCAAAATTAATGCATTCACCTCCGTTGGGAGTTGCTTTCCGCGTGATACGAAAGAGCGCGTGTGTAGAAGTGAATGTTCGTGGGCAGTGTGCAGCTGGCTGGCCCCTAGGAGACTCCTTCTGCCAGCTAGTCCCCCTGCCAGTTGCCGGCCTTGTGCCATTCTGCACGACACACTCCTTACTAGCGGGTATATGCCTTCTAGCTGATTCTCTCGACACATATGCGCTTTAAGATCCCCGTAGGGGTGTGCGCCTACACGTGCAGCACTCCTTGTCTCATCGTGTACCACTTGCGTAGCGGTGTCTGTGCGTGTATACACCGCCTCCCTCCTGCCAGCTCCCGCAGCGCCGTTGTGTCGTCATCTCTCTCGCGCCAGGAGAAACACCCCACCACTCCCCCCCTTCCCCTCACTACCCCCACCCCCTGGGGCTTGCCCGCGTGCGTGAACCTTCTTCGTGCGGTTGTGCCCTCGATATCAGCCCCCTCACTACATTTGGCTCTCGCGCCTCTCCCTCTGCGGCAACCCCTTCCTGTCTCTCTACGCGAGTGCCTCTTCCTACGAGCTCCATGTGCACGTCAACCCAAGCCGACTGAGAAAAAGTTCGGTGCGTTCCTTTTTCAGCGACACCCCGAGGAAATGATGCAATTCGCTGCAGCCGCCGCTGCTGCAGCCCTACAAACTACTGCACGTAGAGGTGAAGTGCACTTCACTCTACAGAGCGAATGATGTCGCTATCGCCGGGATCTGTTACAGCCAGGCAGCTTACACGAAACAGCTTCCCACATGCTGTCCCGAGCTCGTTGTTGTCTGTAGCAGCCACCAAGTGCACATCGCAAGGCGCAACTGATGAGGCCTCCCGCAAGCGCCACGACTGCGGCGGGGAAAGCCCTAGCCGGGTAGGGTTGTGTGAACTAAACAGCAGGCAGGCAGAGAGGCAGACTGGCCGTTGTCTGCATGCCGGGCTAGGAAAGGCGTTGCAAACTGAACGCAGGGGACGGGAAGAGGAGCCGGGAGGGAACAAGAGGTGCTGCAAAGATTTTCAGCGGAAAAAGCCTGTATAGGGAAATCACGACGTGCGCAGGACTCACCTCCAGGGTAGTGATGGACACCGCACTTGGCGAGCATCGCATAGTACTCGATCTCCGATTTGCGGAGAGGTGGGCAGTTGTTGCTGATGATGATTAGCTTTGCTGCGTTGATATACACATGCCTCCGGAGGGAAAGAGGTGCACGAGGCGTCTACGCCCACGGCAAGCGACGAAACCCCTCAATGCTAACGAAGGCAGGCAACACGTGTGAAGCAGGCTGCCCCGCACGCTCTTCTGGAGTTCTACTCTAGCGTAAAATTCATATGCCACAATCGGACGGCAGGAACGTTGTGAGGGGAGGCCGGGTGTGAAGAGGGGCCCCTCCCGACGGCAGCGTCAAATCCTTACCTTTGCCGGTTCGTAGAGAGTTCACCGCAGTCTTTGCCCCAAGGCAAACCTTTCCGCTCTTCATCACAAGCTGAAGGCGGGTGTTGATGCCATCAGCACCCTGCTTCTTCTGCTTCTTCGCCATCTTCTTCACGGGGAGTGAGCAGGCGCTGGGGGTGTATCCTGCGTGCACGGCGCGTCACCAAGCAGCTTATTTGCGGATAAAATGCGATTATTTCGCGAAATGAAGGGCGCCAACAACGTGCCTACCCCAGCAGCAAGCACCCTGAACAAGACTCGACAAGAACAGAGACCCCACGCGGGGAGAAGAAGACCACGCCTGCCGCCGCCGCTGCCGCCACAGCCGCTGCTGCTGGTGCGCGATCAAACACTTACGCGTCCTAATTGCTCAATCCCAAAAAGCGCCAGAGGCAAATAAACTTTGCTTCAACAAACGCCGTGGCTGCTGCTGGTGCTGCTGCCAGGAGCACAGCAACCCCGCGGCCGCTGCTCGGCAGCCCCACACGCGAGCGGCCGCTGCTGCTACTGCTACTGCTGTTGCTGTTGCTGTTGCATGCGCGCTTTGGCGACTTTGCGCATGGAGTGGCATCCGCGCGCCGATGCTCCTCACGTTTGGGAAACGAAGCAAGCTGTGTTGCAGGTAGTCGCTGCAGCTTCTTTGATGGCTTGGAGGGCTGCACGCTTTGCGGTGCTCCTGTTGGTACTGCTGCTGCCCGCTAGTTCTCCAGGAGGGATGGCGGCAGAAGAGGGGGAAACGGGAGGGAGGGAGATCTGAAAAAAGGTAGACAACGCGAGAATGTGAGCTAGACGGATGCAGCTGCACTTGCCTCGCCGCTAAGACCGCTTCTCATGCCGCTAGCAGGAACAGAATCTCTGTCAAGCCGCGGGCTGCTTTCGATGTTTTTGATGGTTCGGTACGATGGGAACTCCGGAGCAGCGGCAACAGTGCATCATGCAGCTGCCAGCAAGTGGGGTAAGCCAGCTCGGGCACGTGCAGCAAGAGCAGCAGCAGAACGAGCAGCAGCAGAACGAGCAGCAGCAGAACGAGCAGCAGCAGCAAGAGCAGCAGCACGTTTGTCGAGAGCCGCTAGGTCAGCAATTGAGGCCTGCGCAGCGAGGCGGGGGGCGATCGGAGCGTTCTTTTGCACATTTTCGACAGCAAGAGACGGCGGATCAGGAGCAGCTCCTACAACAAGAGACTCAGCTGCAGCAAGCACTTGGTACTTTGCATCAGCTGCAGCAGCCTCAGCTCGCTGCTTCCAGTGCTGCTGCAGTTCAGGCGGGGGAGCAGCAGCAGCGCCTTGTGAGTCAGGAGTCGGAATTGCAGCAGGAGCAGCGCGTTGCTGAAGGTTCGTGTGGATACGCCTCGTTGCGGTGTGTGCAGCGTGGGCGACAGCTGCACACGTTGCAGCAGATCCAGGAGCGTTTGGAAGGGCTGCACCGGCAGCGGCATCAGAAAGTGCTTTCCCTCCCGCTGCAGGTGTGGAAGGAAGTAGACAGCGTTTTTGCTACTCGAGGTGTCCAACTAGCCGAGCTGGCGCGTCGAAAAGCAGCAGCAACAGCAAGTGCCGCAGAACATGCACAGAGCTCGTCCTTGGGGTTGCCGACAGCAGCAGCAGGAGGAGATGCTGACGAGGATCCGACAGCAGCAGGAGCGGCAACAGCAGGAGCGACAGCAGCAGCAGGAGGAGATGCTGACGAGGATCCGACAGCAGCTGCAGACGAGTTGCTGTTTGAGGGAATAAGGAGAGAAGCGATTCTTTCGGATCCTTATCTTCTGCCGGTAGGCATGTTGGAACCAGAAGGGCTTCCACTGCCGCTGCCGCCTCTGTCGCCCTCCCGATTGGTGCGCATGCAACGTCGATGGCTGCTTAGACAGCACAAGAAGCAGCAGCAGCAGCAAAATACTGTGCAGCAGAAGCAGAAGCAGCAGCGAAGCACTATGGAGCAACAGCAGCACCAAAAACAGCAGGAGCAGGAGCAGCAGTCGGGGGTGTCGACGTGCGCAGAGCAGCTGGACTGGGTGCTACAGGATGAATCAGACAGCGAAGTGGAAATTCCAGAGCGATTGGAACTGTTTGACCCCGACTCGAGGGTGCTGCTGCAGTTGCTGCAGCAGCATGCAACGCCGGAGGTTGGCTTTTTGCTCTTGCCGCTGCTGCTGAGGTGTATGCATTCTATTCTAGGCGCGTGCAGGGTGGGGATTGCTAGGGGAGACCAGCAATCTGTCTGTTGGGCACGTGTTGCAGGCGTTCTCCTTTTTTCAGAGGGCAGCGGGGGGGGCAGGAGGGGAGGTGACCTTTTGCTGTGACACACACATGCTGTGTGTTGCCCGCGCTGTATCCTGCGTGCAGGGAATAGCCGCAGCACAGCCTCTGGATGCCGAGTGGCGACTCCCTCCATGGTTGTTGCGATCTTGGCTAAACTTCCGCCCTCGCTCGGTGCTGCTATCCGCAGCGGCAGAGGGCGCAGCAGCGCCTTCTGGTGCTGACTTCGCAGGGGAACTGCAAAATCTGCATCATGAGTTTCAAATGTTAGAGCCGCCACCCCCACCCGACGTTTTGCATCTTGCGTCTAAGCACATGCAACGCCACGCAGCGAAAGTGCTCGGCGTTCATCGCGCCCTGCAAAAGCAGCAGCAACAAGACTCTCAAGATGAGCATCAAGGGGCCCTCTGTACGGACAGCTGCACCGCTTTGGCAGCAGATATCGGCGCTCATCAACCCAAGAGCTGCGTCGCAAGCAGCAGGGGCGGCGATTGTGCTGCTGACTTCGCGTCTCTCGCTTCCTTTTTGCGCTTCTACTTGTTGAGCAGCAGCCGATTGCCTGAAGTTGCGGAGCTGGTGGCATGGGTTGGGGCAAAGGAACTGCGGGAGTGGGAAGGTCTTCTGGAAGGCGACGTTGTGCTGGCGATGCAGCAGCAACAACGCTACAGGCTTCCTCGGCGGTTCAATCGGCATGCATGCAGGGCGTCGTGGCTTCCCCCGCCGGAAGCCTCCGTCCTTGGGGAGCAACAGCTCTCCTTGTTTCTCTCCCGCAGTGCGCCTTCCCGCTGTCTCCGTGCCCTGTATGCCATGAAGAATTCCAGAATGGACCGGCAGGCAGCGATGCATAATTTGAATCATCAGCCGCCTCCACCCTCGGCTCCTGCGCCGACACCCGCTTGCTTTACCGCCAGTGCTGCCTGCAGTGCCGTTGTTGCGAGCTGCCGCGGGAGCAGCAGTGGCAGCGGCTTGATTTTTTCTGTGTCGGTTTTTCACGCTGAGAGGGGGGGCGCCGTCGTGGGCAGCTTCGAGCTTTTGGGGTGTCAGACGCTTGCAGACCTCAGGAGGGCTCTACGGGGTTGCTGCAGCAGCGAGTGGGGTCCAGGAGGGGCCCCCCTAGGGGCCCCCCCCCATACCGAGGGCGTTGGAGAAGGTAGCTGCTTCCTCGTGTCGGGTGTTTTGTATCCGGGAATGGAGGAGTCGAGCAGCATGTCGCAGTACGCGCTGCTGATTCGAGAGCACCTTAGAGGGCAGGGCAGGCTACGGCGCGACAGCAGCGGCCGGGAGGGTCTTATTGTGCCGCAGCAAGACGCAGTGTTCGAGCAGCTGCTACAGAAGGGCTTGCTGCCTCTGGGAGAGAGCACCAACTGCTGTTGGGTACACCGCGGCACCTGTACGCACCGCGTGCTCTTCACGGGTGTTCGCGAGAGAGACACGCGGCGAGATCCTCCTCCCCACACGACGCCAAGCGCCTACCCCAGAAGAACCTTCCTGCCCCCCCTTAAGACACAAACGTGCCATGTCTGCCGCTTGGCCTCGGCTCGCAGAGCCGTCGCCAGCAGCTTGTTTTGCAGCACGCTTAGCCCGACGCTGCTGTGCGATAGCTGTGCGCAAATACCCTTTCCCGCGGATCGCCGTCACAGCGGCACCCCTGGCAGCAGCAACCGCCGGTTTGCTGATGTAGACCCATTCGCAGTTCACTTTGAGCTGCCCGGATGCGGCAGCAGCAACGCGCCGCAGCAGGACCAACAGGAGGAGGGCACTGACACGTTCTAGTAGTGCAACATGACACGTTATCGCGTCCTTGTCGCAGGCAGAGCCTCTGTTGCTTTTTGCAGTGCCAGTGTGCGAAAGGCGCCCGCCTCTTCACGCGCGCGCATCGTGCTAAGCCAGATGCAAATAAAATGGCCGCCTTCCCGGGACGCTTGAAGGCACTCAATCTAATAGTTCTCCTCAAGGCACGTGCGAGACGCTCTCTAGTTGCTGCAGTTTCCTTTCCAGAGTACCCTTCTACTAAACACCCCTGTGGGGAGCTGTCTTGGCAGCGATACCAGTTCAGCTGGAAACACGCTCTCTGCGCCCCTCTTTCTCTGTCTATTTACACACCGAGATAGGCCTAGAACCCTGCTCCCCTCCTCAACGCCCCCCATCTCCCCCCTCCCCCCTGTCTTCTCTCCCTCTGATTCACAATACGGGTGCCCAAACGATTCTTCAGCGGATGCAGCAGCACTTGCTGCAGCGAGCCGGCCTGGAGTCCTGTACAGACACCCCTGCACAAAGGGGCTCTCCTTCGAGAACCCCTTTGTGCACCCTACAGACACGCGCTTCTCAGCAGCTGCTTTCACAGCTTTCCGTAATATCAAACAGGGTAGAGAGTGTGTCATGCAGGCTGCGTTTCCGCAGCAGCACACTGACACACCACCCTCCTTGCACCGCTTGCAGCAGCCCCCGCCTTTTATGCGGCCTGCAAAAGCTCAAAATCGTCGGCTTCCTGATTGAACTCCTTCACGTGCCTCTGAATGGCAGAACCCTGCGCCCAGCTAATGAGGTCCTCGCCGTCCCTCGTAACGTGCAGCGCGGGGCAGGTTACTACCTCATTTCCCAGTCGCACATCTGAATAGAAGGCACTCACGCGCGCATAGATTTGGACATGGCTGTGTCAGTATCGCAATGAGGCACCTCCACTTTTGGAGCCGAGAAGTGCAGTCTGCAGGAGTAGCTCTCCTGAATGGGAATTTGGGAAAACTCAACGTACGGCCTTGCTCGATGTATTCCACTGCCTGCTTAAGATGAGATGCCATCCGGTTCTTCAAAAGAACCACTGCCAATCGCCGCCTGCAGAAGGCAGAGGCCGGAAGCCCCTCTGCAGCGGAGAGGCCCTCACGCCGGCTAATAACGCCCATTCTGTACCTGAATTCAGTTCAAATTCTCACACCGTCGAACACAAGGCATTCGCAACAAGGACTTTGGGGGCAGCAGGGGATAGAACCCCGGAAGGCATACACACACTTACCGGAAGAAGACTGCCTGGAAGTACGGTGCGTGTGGATGTATGTAGGTGTATGTATGGGTGTGTAGGTATGTATGTAGGTGTATATACGGGTGTGTAGGTATGTATGTAGGTGTATGTACGGGTGTGTAGGCATGTATGTAGGTGTATGTATGGGTGTGTATCACATGTATGTAGGTACATGTATGTGTGTGTATCACATGTATGTAAGTGTATGTACGGGTGTGTTGGTATGTATGTAGGTGTATGTATGGGTGTGTATCACATGTATGTAAGTGTATGTATGGGTGTGTAGGTATGCATGTAGGTGTATGTATGGGTGTGTAGGTATGTATGTAGGTGTATGTATGGGTGTGTATCACATGTATGTAGGTACATGTATGTGTGTGTATCACATGTATGTAAGTGTATGTATGTGTGTGTATCACATGTGGAAGCTAGCCTAAACTGCTCGGTGTACAAACCAGAAACCCTAGCATCCGCAACGCCAGCGGGAGCAGCACACAAAACTGCGAGCGCAACTGCCAGGGTACGACGTACAGCTTATCCAGTAGCAGTTCTGTCATTTTGACCCTAAAGGAGTCATCGGGAGCCAGGCTTCGTAGACCAGAAACCAGCTTGGTAATAAGGCCGCACAGCTTGTTGTATCTGAGGTGCACGCAAGTCGACAGACAGCGCCGCGTCCAGCGCAAGCAGATGAGATAAGGGCCTCCTGGAACGAATAGTATCAGCTTCAGAGGGCAAGCGCTGAAAACTCCCCCGTTGAGCACTGCGCATGTACCTGTGGTAGTCCTCTCTGTCTTGGATCATGTATCGTCTAATAAAAACGTTCTCCCGAGGTGTGCTATCGCGTTTCCACTCGTAAAAGTTCACCTTCCGCAGCAACCGCTGCTCGTGATGCTTGAGCTGCCGCATTCTCCGCCCCCCGCTAAAAAGTCGGCTTTACTGCTTTGGCTGTTCTGCTCAGGCGTGCCTCGAATGTCACTGCACTTCCCCAATTTGACCAGGAAGAATCCTAACGGGTCCGACGCGAAAAGGCATCCACGCTCACGATACCCGCGCGCCGCCTCTTGTTGCTGCTGCAAAGCCCCAGGGTGTAGGGAGGCACGAAAATGCCCAAGAAAATCCACAGTTCTTCCTCGCGGGGCCCCCTCACCTTTGCAGGCTGCTGCGACTAATGCGGTTCATGGCTTCAGCGCGTACGAAGCAACGGACGTGCGGGAGGGAGATTGACTTCTATTGCATGAACAATTGGGCATGAAACCGAGAGCGCTCACCAAATATAACACATTTATTCATTCGCTCTATTGCTTTCCGCAAGAGCAATGCATGCACTGCAGCGCGTAGTCCTACTACAAAGCACCTCTTCCGGCTGCCAGCTACTGCAGCAGCGCCTGCTGCCTGACGTGCTTCTAGCGGCGAACAAGATCAGGCGCATCGCCAAGGACACAGTAGGTATTTCTTTTCAGAAAGCACTTTTTTCCGTCATTTGTGAAAGGCTTTTGTTTAATAGTTCGTTTGATCAGCAGGGTGCTCCGTGCATGCATGCACAGAGCACCCTGCTGTCTGGGGGCTGTGGCTGGCCGCAGCCGGCAGCAGTGGGGCGGTGCACCGGCGGCTGCAAGGGCAAAGAAGCTGTAGCGGCGGCCAAGGCGACGCAAGAACTTTGTGGCTAGGGCTTACTTTATGCTCTCTTCGGTGTCTGTAAGGCTTGGCGTAGACCCCAATAAACTTTGAACTTCGAAGAAGATGGAGCAGCCCAAGCTGGCCAAGGTGGAGAAGGTTCTCGGTCGCACGGGCAGCCGTGGCGGCGTGCAGCAAGTGCGTGTTACTTTTATGACGGAAGACTCCGATCTTCAGGGTCGTTCTCTGATCAGGAATGTCAAGGGTCCTGTCAGGGAAGGCGATATTCTGGCCCTGCTCGAGACGGAGCGTGAGGCTCGTCGTCTACGCTGAGGCTGCGAACCGCAGCAGTCGCAGCAGCGTGCGGAGGAATTTTGCTTTTGGGAATCAAGATCTTAGCGACGGCGGTACAACGACCTCCTCGGGGGCACGCGGCGAGGGGGACGACACGAGAGATTCGTGCGACGGCAGATGTGTGTTCGGTGCATGCAGAGGCGGCGCCAACCGGGGCTGCTGTCTGTGGGCATCCGCATATGCAGTAGCAACTATACATATGCCAGGGTTGCGGTTTCTAGCGGACTTTCCGTTGGGGGTTGCAGGATGGGCGACGGAGCGCGGGGGCAGCCGGGGGGGGGGGTCGGCTGCCGTGGGTGTTTCAGCATAGAAGCCACTAGAGCACCGCGTGCTGCTGCTGTGTCTACAACAGCTGTGGACACAGCTAATAGCGGCGGCGGATAAGGCTGTATGTACGGTGCGCTTTTTGGCGCTGCAAGACCCGAGCATTTCTGTGGAACGTCTCCTCGCCACCTTTCGGGGAAGTAGGGGTGCTTCGAATTAGCTACAAATAGTAGGAGCATTCATTTTCGGGGAGTTTATAGCTATTACTTCAGTAGGCGGGGCAGGGAGCCGAGGCAGGGCGCCTCACGTCCTGGGATTTGTACAGCACTCGAAGCGTGCAGAATCGGCGGCCGTAGATTTTCAGTTTCGGGGTGATACGGCGTATTGTCTGGTGCCACGGTTTGGGGCTGTGCGGTTAGGCGCTTTGGCAGCCGTCCTGACTCGTGTGCATCTTTTAAAAGGGTTTAAAGAGTGTAGCTGTAGGGGTGTGCGTTGATTGCTGCAACGCAACAGTTATCTTTGGGAAGACGCAAGCTAGTACAAAGGGAACCGGGGGATGGCCTGTAGCCTCAGCCTCCATCCGTATAGCTCCAACTGAAGCCGACCAGAGACAGAGAACGAAAAAGGAAAAGAAGGTTGCTCACTAAGCAGCGCGGGTAGGCCCCGCAAGAGATACTTCTTGGCGGCCGTCGCAGGGGCCATGAAGTTGTTGCTTTACCGCCCAGCAACCGCTAATGGTGGTAAAGTGCTGCTGGCCTCATAACACGGGCAGTACGGTGCGCGGATCGTGTTGCTCTAAGCAGCTAGAAGAGGCCCTCCCTTCGCAGGGAGAAGGAGGGCCCTATGTGACTGGAGCTGCTGCTGCCGTTGGACGCGAACCCCTGCAAGGGGTATTCCGCAGCAATCACCCAAAAGCCTCCGTCCGCAGCCGGGTCTGCCCAGCGGAGGCGTAGGCAGTTGGAAGGAGCAAAGTGGAAGGCGAAAAAGCTCCCGCTGGAGAAGCGTTTGGAGCAGTCCAGGGCGACTCGCCTGTGCAGAGACACACAACGCTGAGGGCCTGCCTTTCTGTCAGGCTGTCACTTCTTCCCTCCCTCACCGTGCCTGTTTTGTGCCTCCACAGCATGCAGGCGTCCCTGAGAAATTGATGCACTATTTGCACTCGCAGTCACCGTATGTAAACAGCACACACGGCTGGACAAACGACTGAGGAGTCCTAGACATTGGCTTTCCCGGGGGGAGAAATTGGAGCTGCAGGAAGGGGCAAAGGGGATGTATTTTGCCTGGCAGACTGCCACCAGGGCCACAGTATCTGAAATACGTATACATATATATGTGTGTATGTTTCTTCGTGTGCGCAAGCCTGCCTTTCTACTGCCTGTTTATCTGCTAGCCAAGGCAACTTGTCAGCATGGCAGTAGCGGCGAGGTCCTGCCCTTTTTGCATGGGCTGAACTATACGCTATGCAGAGCGAGGGGGACAGCCATTCATCCAAAGTTGAAAGCACGGCATGAAATGCAGACAGCATGCAGAGGCGCCATAGAAATAGAAGGAGGACAGAAAGGGGGTGCACAATGAGGGGTGCACGGTGAGTGCGTAGGAGTGGAGGGTGGGGGGTAGTGTCTGTGAAGTGGAGTCTGGCGTGAGCAATCACCTTTCCCCTAGGTGGAACTTCGGTTCAACAAGAAGGTCACCCTTCTCTCCGAAGGCAAATGTCAAGCCCATGGAGACGTCTGGCGCCTCACTTAGCCCTGCCATCCGGTTATTCCCTTCGGAACGCTGGCCCTTAAGGCCTTTATCCTTCTCTGCTTTTCCTGCCTCTGCATGTGCCGCTTCTGCGAGGGGTTTTTCGGCGAAGCTACTCGCTCCTTCTGCAGCTGTCGCCAGCCCCTCTTGTGCTGCCTTGCCCCTTAGGGGGCTTCCCAAGGGGCCTCTCGCGCGAACCTCCACTCCAAGCAAAGTGGGAAGGAGGCCTCTCGTGGCTGCCCCTGTAAGGCCTGCCGCAGCAACCCGCATGGATGTCTCTCCTGCGGCAACGCCACACAGCAGCACAACCACCACGGGCATGGAAACACGGCACCGCCACGGCGCAGCAGCAGCAGCATCAGCATTCGGGAGAGACGCACTCCTCCACCCCTAAGCAGGAGCAGCAGAAAAAACCAACCAACCACGCCTCCTCCCCCGAAGGAGCGAGCCGCAGCTGTATCGAGAGCGAAGAGGCAGGCAGCGAAATGCCAACAGAGGCTCTACAAGCAGCAGCAAGTACGAGAGCATCAGCTGAGCAGGGGAGCAACAGCACACAGAAAACGGCAGACCCTGTTCAAAGTTGTAGGCCGTCTCGACAGCGACTTTAGACTTATTGATATCCAAGGAGCTCTGGAGAGCAAACCCTAGCAACCGGAGTTTACTCAGGGTAAGGGCCACCTCGTTGCCTCCCTGAGACGCTGCAGAAAAACACCCACCCACCGAAGCACACATAAAAATGCGCATCTGCTCCACCTGCAATCAACCGATACAACGTATGCAAACGGGAGCAGCAGCTAAGGCAACACTCTATATCCAAAGCACACCTACACCTACACACACATACACCTACACACACCTACACCTACACACCTATACACACCTACACATACACTTACACACCTACACTTACACACCTACACCTACACCTACACACACGTACACCTACACCTACACCTACACACACATACACCTACACCTACACACCTACACACACCTACACATACACTTACACATACATACACATACACTTACACACCTGCACACACCTACACCTACACACACATACACACCTACACCTACACACACACCTACACACCTACACACACCTACACACACACACCTACACACACATACACACTTACACCTACACACCTGCACACACATACACCTACACCTACACCTACACACACATACACCTACACCTACACACCTACACACACATACACCTACACCTACACCAACACACACCTACACCTACACACACATACACACATACACCTACACACCTACCTACACCTACACCTACACCTACACCTACACACACATACACACCTACACCTACACCTACACACACACCTACACCTACACACACACACACCTACACACACCTACACACCTACACCTACACACACACCTACACCTACACACACCTACACTTACACACCTACACCTACACCTACACACACCTACACCTACACTTACACCTGCACCCACAGACACCCGAGGAGTTGCGGCAGCAGCAGTACAGAAGACTGACGGAGTGCAGCGGCAAGCAGCGGTATCAACAGGCAGTGCCAACCTGAGAAAGTGAGCCTTGGCTTTTCCTTGTCCAAGCTCGCGAGACAACGCAGCACTCCACCGCAGCCAAGCGCGTGTGGTGTTTGCACTCCTAGGAGGACCTCCCCACGCAGCCCACTCTGCTGCAGCCTGAGCAGCTGTTGCTGCACCTGCCGCTGCAGTTGCAGCAAGTTCTCCTTGCTGCATGCGAATGTCTGCCACTGCAGCGGCGCTCTCTCAGCGTCCCTCTTGTCCTCAGGCTGCAGCTGCTGCTGATACAACTCCTGAAGGGGTTCTAGCGGCAATTCGGCATTGACGCGAGCGAAGGCAGAGACACCCATAGGAAGCTGGAAAGGCAGCTGCAGACAATGAGCAGTCCGACACAGGCAGCAGCCACAGGTATGCAGCTGCAGAGATGTGCACAGCATCCCTGCCGTGGCAGCACTGATGTTGCAGCGTAACTGACAGATGGTGCAGAGACGTCTTTTAACACCCACCGCTGCCCCTAAGGAAACAGACTGCATGCCGCGATTGCCGCCGAGACTGATAGGACTCGATGATAGCTGCAGCAGCAACGCAAGCTGCACCCCCCGTCCACTCAATATGTCAGAAAAAAGAATTCGAACAAAGGTTTCCACGCATCTTCTCGAGCACCCGAATGCCGACCCCACCGATCATCCATTGCACAAAAGCAGCGGCAAACGCAGCAGCAGTAAACGCAGCAGCAGTAAACGCAGCAGCAGTAAACGCAGCAGCAAGAGGCTTCCGAACCCAAAAGCTCCTCCCCAGTGTCTTGGCCAGCGAGCTTCCCGGTAGCACCAGCAGAAACAGCAGCGGCAACGCTGCCGCTTGGTATTTGCCGCTAAGACGGCTCATTGCTGCCTCCTTTGGAGAGCAGAAATGTGCCTGCCGCCTCTCTGTGTGCTTGTTTCCACGGAATAAGACCGTTGTTCGGTGCTTCGCAACCAGCTGCATTGCATGCATAGGCGAACACAGACAGACATTCGAGCGATAAAGACAGAGAGAGAGAGACTCTCATGTCGCTCATGCCCTTCCCCTCCCCCCTCCCGAAGCGCAGACTCGGAGACATATCCACACACGACGGGCTTCTACGGGTATGGCCGCCACGAAAGCACGAGTGAGTGAGAAAGGGAGAGGGAGTGAGAGAGAGAGAGAGAGAGAGAGAGAGAGAGAGAGAGAGAGAGAGAGAGAGAGAGAGAGAGAGAGAGAGAGAGAGAGAGAGAGAGAGAGAGGGAGAGAGAGAGAGAGAGAGAGAGAGAGAGAGAGAGAGAGAGAGAGAGAGAGAGAGAGAGAGAGAGAGAGAGAGAGAGAGAGAGAGAGAGAGAGAGAGAGAGAGAGAGAGAGAGAGA